ATGATGACTACGCTCATGATGACTACACCCAGGTGACGGTGAATATGTCTGGGTGAGGGGAAGAAACGAAGCAGGACAATGAGTTTGGAGGCTTTTGCAGTAGAGGTGACTGCTCTTGGAGTAAAGTGAAGGGTGAACCAGTAATAAGTGACGGGGTTTGGAATAGGATTGACAGAACTTCTGGTATTGGACATGGGCAGTTAGGAAAAGAAAATTATTTTTAAACCACTTGGGATTTATGTGCTATTGAATAATCCATTCTATATGAACATATGTGTATAAACATGTATATATATACATACATATATGCCATATATAATAAAATGCACCCACTTCTGGGCTCCTATTTGGTTTCATTGATTTAATAATCAATTCCTGTTTGCTATCACATTTTAATTGCTATAGCTTCATACTGTATTTTGGCCACTGGTAGATAACATTGGTAATTCTTTTTTGTCAAAACATGATAATTCTCATGCATTAATTTGTCCCCAATAAATAATATGGATTAACATTAATTTAGTGCTAACAGCGTTAATAGAACATTATATTGATGCAATATAATCTTCACCATAACACGGTGAAATAGATATTATTATTCCCCTTCTGTTGGTGAAGGTCTTAGAAGTTGCCTAAGGATATTTTAATACTCATCATAAAAAATGGATCTGAACCTGGGTGAGCTGGCTCCAGAGCCCATGAGCACAAATACTTTGTTGCAAGGTTCCGTATTGACCCAAATGAATTTTAACAATTTTTTCAAGTTACTTGCAAAAGCTTCCTTGTATGTTTAAAGGGAAAGTCCTTTCATGTGGATCTTCTTTCAAATTTTAAGCAAAGATTTTCTTGTTTTCATAGTAATCGTCTACATGAACAGACCTCGGGCTACAGGTAGCCCTGAAGCCTGGAGAGGTATAATAGACAAAGTCTGAGTTGCCCAATTCTTTTGTGACCACCGAGGACCAGAATTGCTGTCTTCTTCCCTCTCTTCCCCTCCCCTGCCCCCCACCCCGGCCTTTTAAAAAATCTTTTCTATCCCCACTCTCCTCCTCCTTTACAATTTTAACCCAGAATATCCAAATTTAGTTTTATTCTTTATTGTAATGCAATTCCCCACCCCATTTTTTGAGGGACATGTTACTGAGGATTGAACCCAGAGATGCTTAACCACTGAGCTACACCCCCAGTTTTTCTTTTACTTATTGATTTTATTTTGAGATATGGTCATCCTATGTTGCTTAGGATCTTGCTAAGTTGCTGTGGCTGGCCTTGAACTTGGAATCTTCCTGCCTCAGCCTCCATAGTCTCTGGGAATACAGGTATACACACTGTGCTCATTGCTTTTTCCTTTTCAGTTTTATAATAACTTTAGACTTTCAGGAGAGTTGCAAAATAATACAAAGAGCCACCAAACATCTTCCACTCATCTCCCTCTCACATTCATCTCTTAAGAAACCATGGCATAGTTAGGGAAACTTAGCAATCAACATTGATAACAATATTATTAGCTAAACTCAAAACTTTATTCAGGTTTTCACAAGTTTTTTTTTTTTCCACAAATGTCTTATTGGTCTGGAATCTATCCAGGGTTCCATGCTGCATTTAGTGGACACATTGCCTTGGTCTCTTCCAATCTGTGACAGTTCTTCAGTCTCCCCTTGCCTTGCATGACTTTGACACTTGGTCACTTAATTAGATAGATAAACCCTTGGTGGGAGCTGCTTTCTCATGATCAGATGGACATTATGCAGTGGTTTGTGGAAGTTTGGCAAGACCACAACAGAGGTCATTTGCCCTCATTATATCCTATCAAGAGTTACATGATGTTGACAGGTCTTACCACTTGGTACCTGTTGGATTTCTCCACCGCAAAACTATCATTTCCCCCTTTATAATGGGAGAAGATTCTTGAGACTATAAAAATATGTTAATTCTCCTTTAAATTTTGCCTAATAATTTGAGCATCCATGGGAGGACCTAGCCACAGCTCCCACCACGTGTCCTAGTGGTGCGTCAAGCCAAGTTGTTTTGCAACCAATCCCTTTGCCTAGTGAGCACAGAACCAGTCTCCAAAACCATCTTGGTTGCTAACTTCTCATTAAAAGGGACAGTAGAGGTAATTTTCATCTGTGAATTCTTTTGTTTATTTAGAGGTAGCTTGAATTTTATTTTTCACTTCTAAGAGTTGGCTCTCAGGTGGGAGAGAAAATAGAGCCTTATACACAATGTTTCTCCTAAATAAGATTTTTTAAAAAAACCTCTAACATGGACACCTATATCTCACTGCCTCTTTTTTGTCCTGAGACATCTCTCTGTTCATCCATTGATTCAGCTTATTTTTTGATGCATTGCAAAATAAGTTCCAGTTATCTGCGCATGTCCCACTAAATACCGCAGCACAAATATCAATAACCAGAGTTCAATATTTGATTACGGTATTTTTCTTTGGATGCACATTCAAATACACAGACACTCACTATACATTTATTAGGCTTTTGACCAGTGCATGCACCCCTGTCCAGGATGCATTATCATTCACTCCAGAAGCTTCCTCTATCCCTCTTCCCATCGATCTCCACTCCCATCCTCACACACAACATCATTCTGATTCCAGATAAAATTCACTTGTTAGAGGATTATATTACATGGTGAAGTAATCCTAGAGTATGCATTGTAGCATAAGTCTTCTTCATTCAATAATAAAGATCCATCTACGTTGCCTGAGCAATGTTCCATTTTATAAATACATCACAGTCTGTTCATATACCTGGGGCATTTCTCAGATTTCTGTTATTTTCAATATAGCTGCTGTCAACACTCTTGTACAAGTGTTTTCGTGGACATATGTTTTTATTTATCTTGGGTAAATCTAAGAATTGGAATGGGTAGATCATAGATTAGGTGAGTATTTAATTTTGTATGAAACTGATATTTTTTCCAAAGCAGTGCTATCAATGTACCAATCTCATTGACCATGTGTGTTTGAGAGTTCCAGTTAACCGTTTCCTAAAGTCTTTGTCACTCTGGTGATTGCATGGTGGTAAGTTTAATTTGTATTCCTTTGATGATTAATGGTGTTGATTCTTTCTCATGCACTTAATCTCCATTTGCATGACTCATTTGTGCACAGAATGGCCTACTTTCAGGAAGTTGCTCATCTTTTTGTCAATCTGTAAGGGTCTATCTGCTTTGGATTCCATGATTGTATCAGACTCATATTTTTCAAATGTCTATCCACAACTGCCACTTGCCTATTTATTTTCATAGTAGATTCTTTTGGTAAGTCGAGGCAGCTAAAATTTTAATGCAATATTATTTAAGGCAACTACTGATATGTCATAGAAAAGTCTGAATTTTGCAATTATGAACAGTTATATAGAATAAAGCAAAACAAACCAATATCTGACAAAACAAGTAAAAGATATCATGACTATATAAATTAAGTCATAACCTTTTGGTACAAAGACAGTATTTCTTCTTGTAGGGCATAGAGCCATCCTTTATTACTTTGAAGGATTATAAGTGAAAATTTCAAGGTCTTGGGTGTCAAATGCTATTCTCCACCTCAAAAAGGTACACTATAATTCCTTAGATAACTCATTTACTGGATGACTTCTTAGGTGAAGAAAGTGGAATCAAAGATGACCCTGAAACACCTTTTCATGAAAAAGAATGCAATCTGATGTTCTTAAGAGTAGGGTTCAAAAGGCAACTATTAAGGCCAGTCTACTGAGAGAATTGGTGGTGACCGAGTAGTGACCGTTGGAGCATTAAAAATGCTCCTGGCGGGCTGGGGTTGTAGCTCAGTGGTAGAGCACATGCCC